CACCCCCACCCCCACAGGAAGAGAAACGCCATGTGAGAATTGTCTATAAACCAAAATACAAGAAATGCCTGGGGCTACCAGAAAGGAAGGAAACAACATGGAGAGGCCCTAGTTTAGACTTTGTAGCCTCCAGAACTGTGAGAAAATAAAGTCTATCTTTTAAAACCACCCATTTGTGATTTTTGTGTCACAACAACACTACGTAACTAAGACACTCCCCAAGGCCAAGGAGCTGCCCAGTCTGGACCCATTAGAGTCAGCAGCAGCCATTACTGAGTCAGAGCCACTATCACAGATGTATGGTCTGTGGTGATTAACCAAGGAAAGACACACGGATGAAGTTGCAATACTGAAGTTCAAAGAATCAATATTTACGGCATTAAGATGATTTTAAACTTTATATATGGGTAGGAATAAGTCATCACACATGAAGCAGGGCTGGAGGGCATCCTTTTTAAAATTATGAAGTATGTAAACATACAAAAAAGTAGAAAAACAGTAGAATGTACGCTCATGCACTTAGCCACCTACATTCAACATTCTGCCATTTCCTTCCTTGTGTCGCTAAGCCATTTTAAAAGAAGTTACAGATACCATGATACGTCAATGCTAAATAATTCAATACGCATCTCCAAAAATTAAGGGCACTGTCCCTCATAACCACTATACCATTATTACGGCTAACAAATTTACAGTAATTCCCCAGTATCTCATACCTCATCAAATTTCTCATACCTATTTCAAATTACCTGTGCATTATTTTTTTGTTCAGTTTGCCTTCCACCTCTAGAAAATGTCTGATGTTTTTCCATCCAAGGTTTTTTCTGAGTTGCCTGGCAAGTTACATTGGACCAATTTACATCACCTGCAACAAATGAGATTTAAAAATAAGACTGACTTACAAAAGACGCCAAAACCTAAAAGATTGCCCCTAACTCCATGCACTGAATTTCAGTCACCATAAATGTAATGCTGGAAATTTTTCTATACACTTTAAGCGGTATTCCAATTCTTTGTATATAAAGTGTCATCTTGCAGAATATCCCACCTGGCATTTTCTCAATTTGATCTGTCAAACTGTAATTTCAAATTAACATGGATGTCTTTAGCAGTATCAGCAAGTTTCATGCTCAAAACAAAATTCTGACATGAACAAGGAAAAAAAGGTCAGTAAGTAAAGCAAAAACTCCATGCAGAAAATAAGTACCTGAATATACAGATGATTCCACATGCTAAAAAAAAGGAAGCAAAAAAGACAATTATTTTCCATCTAAGAGTCAATACTATCAGCTTTGCAAAACATTTCATAATTTAGACTAGTGGGATAGTACTTATTACAATCTGAGGAAAAAATAAATCACACATGAATATTTTTCATATAAATAGTAAAAAATACACAAGATACATTTTTAACCATGCTATTACTACTATAAGAATTGTTAACGAAAATAGATACTTAAGCTTTAGCAAGGGACATAAAGATAATACTGACACAAGTGATGGATAAAGAAATCAAGGCAAAGTTACATACATTCATGGTCCCAGAATCAGGATTTCTCAAAGCTCCTGCCGCAGACTGGTTATTGCTGTGTTTAGGGCTGCAGTAACCACTATCACTGTCAATGTCAGCTTCACTAGCCCCCTGCTCACTGGAGGATTCTGCAGTGGGGTGGGACGCTCTTCTCCTCCTGCCTTTTGACTTCCAAAGCATTGTGGCGGTGCTCTCCGAGAGAGACTTGTTGGCAATATCTGATGGGAAATCTACAAGGCAAGAAAATGTGATGACCAAATTTATATATTCTTGTTAAATTATCATTAAGCAAAAGTTGTAAGAAAATAAAGATGTCTAACTTTGTAAATGGTGAAAGAGGTGAAAACTTTTTTAAAAGATGGTTAAAAGCTAAGATGTTCGTGACAAGTTGGCTTACAACACATTTTATCACAAAAACAGAATAAAATAACCGTTAACTGAAATAGTAAAGCAAATACCCATGCACCCATTACCCATTTAAGAGAACATCATCAATCCTGTGACGTCCACTCTGTGCCCTCCTCCACCACTACACCCTCTCCCATCCAGAGGTTAACTCTATACTCTCAATTCTGGGTTTAACATTCCCTCAACTTCTCCTGATAGAGTCACCAGATTTTTTTATTCCTAAAATATAAATCATGTAATTTTGCAGTTTTAACTTTATGAAAGTGATATCATTCTGTACATATTCTTCTGTGACATGCTTTCTCCTCCCTACCACCAACACTGGTTTTGAAATTCTAACGCACGTAACTGTAATTCATTAATGTTACTGCCTTTGTATGAATATGATGCTGTCATTGCCATTAAGTGCCCCCAACTGATGGTGACCCCATTCACAATGGGACAAACTTGACCGATCCTGTACCATCTCCATAATCAGCTGCAATCATTGTGAGCCACAGAATTTTCACTGGCTGATTTTTCAGAAGCAGGTCAACAGGCCTTTCTACCTAGTCCATCTTAGTCTGAAACTTGTTTGGCATCACAGCAACACGCAAGCCTCTACTGACAGACGGGTGGTGGCTGCTTATGAAGTACAATGGCCAGTAAACAAACCTGGGTCTCTCATATGGTAAGTGAGAATTATACCACTGAACTACCAATAAATGCCTCATTTGTATGAATATACCATAACGCATTTATTCTTTGTACCACTGATGGGACTTGTTTTTGTTTTTTTACCATTAAGAACAACACTGCTGTGAACTTCTTGTACACACCCATGAATACATATGGTAGACATGTGAAAGTTTCTTTAAAGTATATACTGTTGGGACTTAAGAGTACGCACATACTCAATTTTACTCAGTAATGTCAAATCGTTTTCATAGGTGGTTAAACAATTTACACTCCAATAGAAGTTTTTCCAATACAAGTATTTCCCCTGATCCACATATTCATCAAATACTTAATACTGTCTTCTAGGTTATAATTTTTCCTAATCTGTTGGATATAAAAACGTGGCTCGTTGTCTTTTAATTTGCATTTTCCTGCTTAATAATAAGGTTGAGCATAATTTCTGATGTTTTTAACCATTAATATTTCTCCTTCTGTGAAATACTAGTTAATTTTACTTTTGGACTGTTTGACATCTACTCATTTTTCTGCTGGGTCTTCTGTTTCTTATTTTTGTATTTCACAAATTGTAATCACAATAATGACAGTTAAAAAAAATTTAAAAAAAGGCTCTTACATTCTCCTCCCAGCCCAAGAAATCACTAGTTTTCCTTTATCTACAATTTCTGCCCGTACCTAATTTTTATACAGCAGTGATAAAATTTTGAATTCTGCTCTGCTTAATATTATATCATGCTGACAAGCCTTCATAACTACAATGTAAGACACCTCCATATTACTGCACTGAGCAGATGTCCTGAAATTTTCTTGACCTGCTACTGAATACTGACAAGATTTCACTGTTTTTATTATACTGCTTGGATGTGTCTTTAATCAAACAGCCCTTTTCCTCCCTAGGAGACTTCATGTGGATACATTCACAGGAGTGAAACGACTGGGTCAAAAGATACAAAGATTCCTACAGTCCTGCCAAACTGTCTTCCAATGAGGTTTCAGCCTCTGGTGCTGTGTCCCAAGAGCCACGAGGGCAATGTGTGACCACTTACTTACACATTCCTATGAATTCTTCATATGTCCTCATGTTAATCCTCTTCTAGTTATATATATAATAAAAATCATTTCCAAGTATGCAGCTTATTCTTTAATTTACTTTTGATAAACAGGAATTCCTAATCTTAGAAAAAGTCCTCTCTCTGTAGTCATGAAGAAAAAGCCTGTATTTTCTTCTGTATTTGATTTTCCATTTAAGCCCTAAATCCATCTGAAATAGATCTGCATAGAGTATAAATCAGGCATATGTAATGCTATCACTGTCATTTTCCATTTATGTGTTTCCACACACATGTGGGTCTGTTTCTGGGCTCTCTGTTCTATTTTTGTACATTGCACTGGTGTTATAAACACACAGGAATTAATACAGCTTTACAAGTAATTTTTTTATAAGTCTTGATATCTAGGGAAAAAAAGTTCTTTTCCAGGGCTGTGTCAGCTCTTCTTGGACCCCACTGCTCCTCTATTTTAAATGTCTGTCAAGTCCCCTAAAAATGCTTGTTGAAATTTTAATTAGAATTGCACTGAATCTACATACTTAGGGAAAACTGACATTTGCAAATCAAATCTTCCTACATGAACACACTATTTCGTTTTTTTTAATGTTCTACAATACAGGTTTATAATTTTCTACAAAAACATCTCATACATCTTTTATAAGATTTATTTGCAGGCATTCTATATTCTCATTGTTATTTTAAATGACGTCTTTTCTTGAATTTTCTTTGTTAGCAGCACGTTGAAATGCAATGAACTTTTCTGTATTATCTAGCAATCTTACTTCAACTCTTATTAAATAATACAAGCTTGTGTTCAAAAGTAAAAATATATTACAAATGAAAACACAGATTCTTTTCAAACTCTAATTCTACCTGTGATTGATACGAATTAATCTTCAGAATTTGAAAATAAACTACAGGATAAAAATACTGATAGAATGTACAATTATCAGAATTTAAAAATAAACAATACACATAGAATATACAACCTTTTACTCAGATTATACCTCTGTTTTTTCATTTTCAAATTCTTATGCTTCAGAAGGTTGTCTTTGTAGTTACTTAATGAGCAAACTAAAAGCATCATTTTTAAAAGCATTCCCAGGTTTGAAATGGGTCACTATGACCAGGACAAACCAAAACACAGAAAATCTTAGTGTATTACACTGTAATTCTTTTCCATAGCCACTCCGAGCATTTGTCAGAGTCTGTTAATCTCACGGCTTTTTGCCCTAACAAACCACAATGACTATACTATCAGAGAGATTATTCTTTTAACTCATTCTCAGGTCCTTTCTCTGCTCCTAGTGGATGTAAGCAACTGTAAAAGGGTAAAACTGACTAAAAAAAATAGATGGCCAAAAGAGAAGGTACAGCCCAAATGAAAGGAAGTATAAACTATCTTATTCATTGCAACCCTGACCTCATTTGAATAGGGCTGCAGAAGGATAAAAGCAAGTGTGCCTTTGAATACATCTAATTCTTGGTCTTGGATCATAACAAGGATTTTTCTTTTTTTATAGGTGTCAGTAACAATGGTAAGAGGTTGTAAAATCTGTTCTACAGATACGAAACTGAGATTAGAGATATAAACTGGAATTCCAAGATAAAAACTAAAAAAGAACTAAAATGTAAAAACATTAATTCTTATCTGTTACTAGAATAAAATTTTGGTTTTTGTTTTATTTTTACTTAATCCTTAATTGAACAGTCCTCTAAAAATCATTGGACAAAATAATATCCACCAAATCTAAAGTTTTTACTTGTTTGACAGGATGTGGGTGTTATTTTATTCATAGGTTTGGTTCAGATGCGTGCTAAGATATGGCACTGAAAACTTGCTAAGTTCTTTCTAAAAGATGTTACAGGATGTTAGGATGTTTTATAAAGAGTTTACATCTAGTTATACAAACAAGGACAATTTTGATTTCCACCAAAATAAGTCCCCAAATTTCGGATTTCTACCATGTCTGAAAAATTCCACCTCTGATTTCTGAATTGCTCCACTACTCTAAGGTAGTAAGGAAACCTCAAATCCTGCTCAAAACTGTACACAAGCCCGCAAGCAAGGTGAAAGAACAGTAAGGACACAGGCTGTTTGGACCTTCCTAGGGAACTTCACAAACTGGCAGGACAAATGGAAGGATGAAAGTCTAGAATCCTGAAAAGTAGCACAGTCCACAATTATATAAAGTCAATCCAAGAAAACAGATAAAAATCCTTGCCTTAAGCTGGTTGAATGGACACAGTAAAGCACGGGTGGAAAGGAGGAGTGTGCTGTCACAGTATAGGGAGAGCAATAAGGGTCACATAACATGTATGTATAAATTTTTGTATGAGAGACTAACTTGAATTATAAACTTTCACTTCAAGTACAACAATTAAAAAAAAAAAAACTTGCCTTACCAGTTTGCTGTGAAGCATCTACCAGAAGCACAATTTTTGATCGATTATCAGGACCTGATGCATTTGTCTCTTTTTGAGTAGCTACATTTTTCACCAGTTTCCCGTGTTCTTTTATGTGCTGTTGTAAAAGCTGCTGCTGATTTAAGTTAAAAAAAAAAAAAAAAAGTTTTTTTTTTTTTACAATCCTACTTAATGTACCTAAACATTATAAAATACATTTAAATGGATGGCTCCCAATCCATGGCTCAACAGGGTTACTTTGTAAAAGTTCCATGAAATTATCTACAATGAAGCATAAGAGACTAAATAATCTATTACATATATATACACATACACACACATATATACATATATACTCATATACTATTTCAAATAATAATACAGCTATGATTAATAAAATATTAACTCAATTTTATATATTATTGGCATTTTTTATTTTCTCAGTAAGTAAATACTGGGAGTAGAATCATATCAGGGGTTGCAAATTTTTATTAAAAGGCATAGTAAAAAGGGTGGTAACTCGTCCCAAGGCTACAATTTAGTTTCATGACAGCAATGAAGCTGCAACAGAAATTTCTGCTTCTAAGTTCAAAAAAAATGTAAAAATGCTGATCCTTTCCTTCACTTTTGAAACGAGTATTCATCACTTTAATGGCAATTTACACACTACAACTCTGTATTTAATTTCCTAAATTCAAGTGCTGGGAATGCATTCTAAGAAATCATGTTCCTTCAAATTCTGGGAGTTACATACTATTATCTTACTTCCAACACTTACTTCTTTTCATTCTCAGAGGTCCCAAAAGGATTCCTCTTGACCCAGAGTATTTCCATGAACAAAGACTAAAAGCTTTTCAGAGCAACCTCTGCTGCTTGTTTGTATTTTAATTGGTAAAAAGTATGCCAGGAGACTGTAAAGCCTTTTTACTAAAGAAACTAGGGTTAATGGAAAGTATCAACTCCTTGATGATACATTCATGAGTCTAAGAACTCACTCTGCCTTCTATCAGCTCAAACTGCTGAGTAGAAACATGTTTTTTATTATTAGCTTTGATATTAAGGCCTCATTGAAAAAGTAACTTTTTTGTTAATAGTTACCTAGAAGAAACCTTAATTCCCTTGTGATTTCAAGGACCTTTTTTTTTTTTTAAACCCATTCAAAAAGCTAGTCCTGAACAAAACGGTTTCACAGATTTATCTTTCATTTTCTTCAATCCTGGGAGACGTTGCGTTCATACAATAGTAAAGCACTCCTTAAGGAACAAACTGCTATTCTTACTAAAAGATCACATAATAGCAGCAACGAAATTAAAGAGATCTAATGAATCACAAGTGCTCTTTCCTATAATATCTCCTGCAGATTTCTACAGACTGAAATATTTTTAAGTGCATTAGCCATTCAACATTGCTAGTACAGGATGCACACTAACCACTTATTAGGCAATGCTGAGGTTGCCAGGCAATTTTTATCACTAAACTATCTGAAAATACTTAAATGTTTATGTAAAATTCTCTGAAGGAACTTAAAGAAGATAGTAAATCATGTCAGCAATCAAGAATGAGGAACAATAAAAAACACACTCAATATCCTTGACTATTTTATAACAGTGAGAGATGTTTTACAGTAAATTCAGCATTAAAGGGCGATCAGTACAAGCAGCAAATTACCTGGATGAGTATTAAAAACAGAAATATCAAACATAAAAGCCAATCAACATCAGTCACTTACTTTTGGTACCACTGGTCCTCTGTTACTGTTTCTGCTTCGATGACTGGACAGTGGAAAGACCTGTCCAAGCTGATTTGGACGCTCAGTACATTCTGTGGTTATAGTATTTACAGTATTTGTGGCCTGAAAGGTATTGGAGTAAGGTGTAGGAAAAGGATGATAAAAACCCATAACCTGGGCACATGGTGCTGGCATCAGCTGGTAATACGTATACTCTGTAGAAACAGGTGGCTGAGCAGATATAATGGGGTAAGCAAGGTATGGTCCAGCAGGATTTGGATTGGGCTGTTGCCATCGTATATCACTGTTATATAAGGGGAATTGTCTGCAAAACAAAATCAGTAAAAGAATAAATCTACAGACAAGTCTAAAATTAATGCTAAAGCATAATCTCTTAATTCATTCTAACAAAAGAAAAAAACTGGCCTCATAATAATTCTAGGAAAGAACACAAATTTACCATCATCTTATAAATTTTCTCACTGTAAGCAGTATTATGTTAGTATTACTATGTACATGTAGTAACAATTTAAATGACAGTACAAATTAATCCAGTATGATAGTCTGACTGCATTACAAAATTTTAAAAGTACCTACTATTGTTATTTGTAGCCCTTCCCTCCATCTCCTCAAGATATTTTTGCCTAAAACACCCAGCTCCTGGGTCTACCAACAAACAGAGTCCAAAGTTCCCATCCAATGACAACAACTGTGAAAGCCTTGAAAAAGGCAGGGAAAGGTGACTATTGCGTAAGGTGATCATTACACAGGGTGATCTGAGTCCTCTACGTCCCATTCTTCAGCTCACTTGCAAGGCCTCCTACTCCTCTAACTACCTGGCCAAGTCCAGCTCTTTTCCTGGCTCTCTTCCTTGGCAATGGAGGCAGGCTCCAGGTCCAAGGGAAGGAAGAGGAGAAAGAGACAAACCTTCCACGACCTCTTATCCCCAGTATTAGGGCTTCTATGTGTACCTCTCATAAAGCAGCAGCAAGCTTCCCCCGTCCCACGGAGCCCCCTCACCAAAGGTTGCGACTCATGTATGAGGGGTGCTGGGGAGTAGGGCACTGGCGCACAGAGTTTTTTCTTACTAACCCCATGACAAAGCAAAATTGAAAACTATTCACTACAATAATCCCAAAATATTTTAAAATAATCTGCTCACTAGTTTACTCGTGAATTCTCAAATATTATGCAGTAAGGTAAAAAAACAAACTTAATATATCATACTGTACACTTGGCCATTCTGTCAAACGCAAAAATACTATTATTAAATTTAGTTTACAAATGACTTAAAACAATCTAACATAGGTCAAAGACCCTTAATATAAAAGAAAAATAATAAATTACCTATTGGACTGGTTTTCCTGCACAAATGGGTAACAAGTAATCAGGTAGCTGGGAATTGGAGTTGGTTCAACACCAGAAACACTTCCATTATCATTTGGGAGTGCCACAGGGATCATAATTGTATCAGGATTCTTCTTCTGGGGAATAAATGGCTCTACTTCAGCTGACAGCTTGACATTCTTCAATGAGAAGGTGAGATGCATTAATAACAAATGAGCAAAAAACTCTGATAACAAATTCACAATTTAACAAAAGAAGAGTTCATCTTCACAAACAGTAATTAGGACTCTTCCCAGGATTCACAAAACATTCAAAAGGAACAGCAATGTTAATTTAAAATAACTGAACAATGATCAAATTATTTTACACGAAGTCATCAAATAAAATAAGGACAAACTTATAAAAGGTTACCACATTTCAATGAAATCATTTCTTACATAATCAAATCTGGTAAAACAATCAAGAGTACAAGGAAGTCATATCTCAGAGTCCAAAAATAAAGCTGGTAGTAAGAAATCTAGCTCTTCAGACAAAACAATGTGCTAACTAATTTTGTTAGGGGGAAAAAATCACTACAGTTCTGAAAGATAATTACTTTCTATTTGTTTGAATAGTAGAAAAAATAATCTATTTCTGTCCAGTTTCAGGAAATTAGATTAATATTGTCAAACTAAAAGGAAGGAAAATGTCTAAGATGAAAGAAAATATGCTTACCATAAGGGGATACAACTTCGGTTCACAGTTAAATTGGAAAAAAAATGAGTACTACTTCAGTTTCCCAATAAACAATCTGAGCAAACTAAAGTGATTCATAATATGTACTCTATTTTGTTTGCATCTTTTCTTCTAATGATATATACAGACTTAAAAAACAGATAAAGAAAAAATCATAGCATTTAAGGATGCACATGTCAATGACAAACATAAAGAAAAGTAAATAAACAAGATCCGTGAAAGTTACCACAGGGGTTAGTCTTGGACAGGAAAGAGGGAACTGTGATTGGGAGGAGGCATCTGGAGAGATTATGGGGTGCCCAGGAAAGTTTATATCCTAACTTGGGTGATACTAACAGGGTGCTCACCTTATAATTCATTAAGTTGTAGACCGTTTTATGTAGTTATCTATATTTGTTACACTTAACAAGTTTAAAATTAAAAACAGAAAAAATCTATAGGTACGTTCTGCAATAAAAGCAGAACAATAGAAACCACATACCAAAACCAACTCCGTTGCCATCAAGCCGATTCCAACTCATAAAAGAAATCACATAAGTATTACAATCTAAAAAGATATTACTTAAAACACAACTTTATAATGAAACCAAGCAAGTGTGAACCACTAGGATCAATTACCTTGAAGCAAGGGTACTAATCAGAATTTTTCCCCAACAAACCCACTAGGGTGGTATTTATTAGAAACTCCCATCAAACTATAGTTTCCAGAATAAATTCCCAGCATGTTTTTCACAAAAGCGCTCAGTAACAAGTCCAAGAAAATATAAAGACATGACTTGCTACGCTCAATATATAGCCTTTATTTAGAAAAATAAAGTTCTCTAAAAGCAAGCCACAGTAAATATTCAGAAATGCTCCTATAAAAAAGGTAAAAAGAAGAAAGTTGAACTACACAGCAGTATTAATTCAACGTACTTGCTCCCTACTAGATTTAACTTTAAAGTCTACAATTGTACTATTAACCAAAATCTGAAGTATATATAGTAATAACACAAATACTTGTAACTAATGGTTGTTTGTTGAATTTCAACACAAAAAGCAAAAACACCTTCAAACAATATTAATATTAGTAATTTTCTGTGATATATACTAGAACCAAAGCTTACTTATATAAGGTATAAGATATCAATCTAACAAAAGTCTCTTTAAGTAGAAGAAGAAAAAAGTTTATTTTCAACAATAATTCACAAATAATGGAAACTGGCTTTATATAGTTCATACATATTCATATGAAGATGGGGAATTTAGGTGACATTTCTTAAAGACATGTCTTAACTGCACCAAAAATGCAATTTTTAGGAATTTCTCTAAAAATAAAAAATTGTTTTGAACATGAGAACGCTGAGCAGTTTTATAAATCTGGAATACTAGACATTTCTTGTTGTTAGGTGCCATCAAATTGGTTCCAACTCATAGCAACCCTATGTACAACAGAACGAAACACTGCCAGGTACTGTGCCATTAGACATTAGGGTTGATTTTTTGTTTTCTGGTTTGTTTTGAAGCAAGGAATATGGGTACACCAAATTCTCAGTCTAAGATGAAAAAAGGAACAGTACTAACACAATTATGAAGAAACAAGATAATTTAAAAATAACACCTTCCTGACCAAAAAACCCCCACTAACTTATAAACTACTGGGGTAACAACATATTCAAATTCTTACTCAGATGTTTTATGCCCAGTTTCATTTGTACTTTATTTAAAAAAAAAAAAACAAACCTGTTGCCGTCAAGTCGATTCGGACTCATAGCAACTCTATAGGACACAGTAGAACTGCCCCATAGGGTTTCCAAGGAGCGCCTGGTGGATTCGAACGCTGACCTTTTGGTTAGCAGCCGTCGCTCTTAACCACTACGCCACCCCGCTTTCCACTTTATAATAAGAGTTTTATAAACTTAGACAACCCACACTGCTCAAGAGGTGTCATGCATAATTTATGAATAATGTATGCACATATACAAAGTACTTACCCGCAAATATAAAGTTTTTATTGGTTTCTATTCTAAGTGCTATTCTAGGTATCAGTTTAACAATAAAACTCACAAACACTGAAATGATCCTTTGTTTTTAGCAAGAAACAAGAAAAAAGAAAAGCTGCTGCAGTCAACAGCTGCACAAACAGAAGACGTCACTAGTAGGAACAGACTAGCAAACCTTCTCCTATAGTTACAGTTCTGTTTGGTTTTAGAAGTTGTTTATTGTGACTTTGGGGCCTCCAGTATCATACATCAAAATGTAGCATCTGTTGTTTTCAGACCTGAAAAGCAATGTTATGATACTGAAACAGTCTCACAATTCTTCATAATAAAGCCCATACAGACAATATGTTAAGTAAGCAGCGGATTCTGGCAGTATTTCAATTACATTAGTATAGAAATCAAAGACTTATATAGTGGACAAGAAAACGTTATGAAAAGGTTATCTAGACTAGCTATTTCATACTGGTTTTACTCCTCAGTTTGAATTTCTGTGTTTAGTCTACTTTCGTAAAGATTTATTTTTTAGGCATCAGAAGTTTTATAGCAGCGAGCTGTCTCCTTAAAGAAGGCATAAATGTTGAATACGTCTACACTACACTGAAAAAAAATCTAACTATTCTTGTCCTACTACTGGCTTCAGATCAGGAAAGAAAACTATCTACACAGTAAAATTATCTTTATTTTTTGCAAATTATTCCAGAAATTCCCAAGTTAATGAAAAATCATAATAGTAATCCTAGAAACCTATATTTGAAAAAATATTTAAGCAGTTTCATACTCACCTTTAATTTTGTGTATATTAAAGCAAATGTCAATAATAAAATTTCTTTGAGATGAATAATCTAGAAAACCCAAGAATTTATCTGAACATGAAAACTATAAAAATCTTGTTTAAAATAAATTATTAAGCAAAAGCATTCAGATACTTGAGAGCCTATATAATTCAACAAATATATATTGAGCACATGTTCTGGAAAAAGCACTAAGCTAGACTGGTTTAGAAAAATTGGGCAAACATAGTACTAAGCAAACATCAGCAGCAAATGCACACTAAACTCAAAATGAAGCCTCCAGATGAGTGCAGAAAAAAATGACACCCACTTCAAATCAAAACCGAAGTAGAACATAAGGCAGTGAAATTTCAGAGTGGGTTATTACACACCCGCAGAAAAAATGACCATAAAAGCTTTCTAAATTCTCTTAGGATGAAAATATGTATCAAACATTAAGATATCTTACACTCCATAGCCAAAATGTCTTCTGACAGAAAAAAGGATTAACGTTTAAGGATTACCTGCTGGCTGTCTTGTTTTCTGATTGGAATGGTTTCAAGTAAACCACTTGCCAAAACAAACTGCAGTATTTCTATGTTTAAATTTTACAAGACTTCAGAATGTACTGAGGAAAAAAAGTACTTAATTTTGACTCTGCCCACTTGCTTTCCTATCCATACATTTTTCCTATTTTCTTAAAATAGAACGAGTCTAATGTTTTTAAAATATGATGGCACTTTTCTAAAAACCAATTTTCTAGATTTAATACTAGTTTTTGGATTATCTAATTTATTAATTTCTGCTTAGATATTTATTGTTTTCTTTCCTGCTTTGAGGTGGTTTTCCCCCTAACTTCTTGCCTTGGATGCTTAATTTTTATCTTCATTTTAAAATGTCTAATAATGAAAGAATTTATGACTATGGATTTACCTCAGAGTATATATAACTTCAGTCACATCCCAGGTTTTCATATGTGGTTTTTTTTTTTTGTTTTTTTTTTTACCTTTTCAATAACCTATCATTGTACTTTTTATTTCTCTTTGACCCAAAGGTTTAGAAAAAATGTCTTTTTAAATTTCCAAATAGTATTTTCTACAAATGAGAATGCACTTTTTTATTAAAAAAAAAAAAAAGCCCGTTGTCGTTGAGTCAATTCCAACTCACAGTGACCCTATAGGACAGAGTAAAACTACCTCGTACGGTTTCCAAGGAGCGGCTAGTGGATTCGTACTGCCGACCTTTTGGTTGGCAGCCAAGCTAACAACCACTGTGCCACCAGGGCTCAAAATTACAAAGCTATTATTTTTAAAATAATGATAAGACAGATTTACTTTTATCTATACATAAACGCCAACTATTATAAGTATTAGAGAATAATAAACATTATCTGGTAACTTAAATATGTTAGTTTGGAGTGTTGATATTATTTGAAGATTACAAATTATTTAGAGAAAACAATTATAAGTCCAATAATTTTGTACCCTCATTAATGAACAGCACATAGCATGAATGTCAAGAAGATTAATAACCAATAATTCTGTAAAGTCTTGTTTAAAATTTGTCTAATATTAACATACTAAAAATTAAACCAATGTTTAAATTATGTGATTTGTGATACTACAAGAGACATAAAACCTTGAGTGTTTTGTCACCTCTAAGCTCATTGTTTTAAAAAAAAGTCTCAAAACACTGTCCTAAATTTCCTAAAAAAAGAAACACTAAACCTTTATAAACAAAATGAACTCAATTTATTCTTCACATCCTTTCCACCAGCCTGCCGGGGGAAAAAAATGCATTATGCGAAGTAATATCAATCTGCTTCTAGGACACCTAACTCTGGCAGTTAAAATACAGCTCTGCGCTTTGATTTAACAGTCCTGCTAAAAAAGAATACTCTGGAGATGCTTTTCTAGTACATAACATTTTTCCAAATAGTCATTATTGCAATTAAGACTATTGATCTAGCATTGTAGTCCCAGTAACTTACTTTTTACAATCTTGATCAATGCATACAAAATGTATCTTTTTATAGAAAGATTTTATAAAAAATAAGAGGCCATTTGCAATAAAAGCAAACAGGAATGCCTTCAGGAAAAAACACTTAGTCTTTTTAAGTTGTATCTTGTACAATACTCCAAGGATTTAATTAGGCTAAAATGAGACACAGAAAGTTTGTATTAAGTCGTATTTTTTAAAAAATCAAATTTTTATGAACTACTAGCCACTACAATATAATGCATAAATTTTAACATTATAAGCACTTCCAGAAATTCTGAATGTAATACAACACCAATTTAAAATGGAAAAAACAAACATTTTGTTGGGAAAAAAGAAAACTGAGCACATACTACAGACACTTTTTAATGGTCTTTACCTATTTAAATTCATTTCATTTGTAGAAATATAAAAGTATATTAAAAATAACCTGGAGAAGTCATTACACTACTCTCCGGTATAGTGGAAAGAATCAAGAACTCCCCTAAGCTGAGAAATCTCGGTTGTAGCCCCTATGCTATCATTAATATTCTCAGCCTTTTTTCAATGATAGACCCCTTTGAGAATATCATAAAAATCTTGGTCTCTTATCGCATAAAAAAATGCATATATAAAATGTAGCACAGTCCTTCCAAGACATTCATGAACCCCTAAATTAACTGGCTACAGCATTAACTAAGCACTTTTATGGATGTTTCTGGTGTGTATGGTGGTGGGGGCAATTTTTTTCTCTCATTTAGGGTTTTTCTCTCATGCAGGGAAAGATGCAGGAGGTACCAGAGGAAAAAAAGAAAAGAAAAAAGATCTTCAGTGAAAAATCTTCCATGATTTTTTTTTCCCTCATAATCCTTACATTTCTATGAGATTTTAACTGGTTGTAGTTTTTGGAAATACCTAGAATGAAGAAGAAAAGCGCTCCCTGGTTTCAATTATTTCTTCATAACACTTGCTGTTGGAAAGATAATCGCAGGCACATAGCTATGCTAAAAGTCATCATCTAAATAATTATAATTCCTCTAGGATGAAAGGAGCCATAAGTATACATATGGTAGCATTACTGATTCCAGTTCTGGGTGATGAAGGGCCAAAATGTTAAACCCTTTCATTAGCAACATACATAGAAGGAAGAGGTTCAAGGATATTTCCTATTTGTCAGGATTTAAAATCCCAGGTGTCTTTGACAGATAACTTTAAAAAATCCCGTTTTTTAAATTATACTGGATATAGGCTGCGTATAGAGGGTTCTAGGTCACAGGAAAGCCTGTTTATATTTGCTAAAAGCTTCCACATCGAGTTTGTATGGTAAATTCCATCTATTGTTTTAAAAAAACCATTCACATTTTCAGTCATAGTCTAGTAGGAAGTTACACTTTGCCTGTTAAAAAATTTTTCAAAATAAATACTGGCTTTGATTAGCTATATACACGCAAATATAGGAATGTGGGAAATCTTGTCTCATTTATTCAGGTACTAACTATTCCATCTGTAAAATAATTAGACAAATCATTAGACTCTCCTATGCCATCACAGAGCCCTGGTGGTGCAGTGGTTACGAGCTTGGCTGTTAACCAGAAGCTCAGCAGTTCAAATCCACTAGCCGCTCCGTGGAAACCCTATAGTGCAGTTCTACCGTGTCCTATAGGGTCGCTATGAGTCAGAATCAACTCCACCGCAACGGATTTTTTGTTTTTGTTTTTGCTTTTTGGGGAGGGGGGATTATTCCATCATCTATTTGCCTAATTCATCACTTAGGCAAGGTGTTCTTCAGCCGGAAAGGTGACTGGATCGTGAACAACTTCGTCTTCATCAAACTTGCTACAATTAACTCGTTTCGGTAAAGGTTTGGAGAGTGGAAAAACTGAAATGTTGGGGGGGGGGGAGCTATTATTTTCCATTATTTTTTTACATTTTAATTGTCCCTGCCTTCCAGCGCCTACAGCATGAATAACCCACATGTACCGCAACAACCCAATAACCTATATGTACTGCTCAGCGGTACACAAAGCAACCATGAACTTTTTTTCTTTTCAGCCTCCGGGGTTTATTGGGAAGCTGCTGTACCACTGACAGTGCGTGCTGCCTCAAGGCAAGAGTCTTTATGACTGTTTGAAATCGAAAAAACGGGCGTGTACCGCAAATTACTGTTTTTACAGGGTATTGTATGAGGTGTCTGAATTTTTTGTAGGAAAAACATAAAATTTTTGAAAACGTACAAGTTGATTCTGGCGGGGACTCTAGAGTATAATTATGTTACTTCATATGTACCACGAAACACTAAAGGTAGGCTGGTGGGAGGGGGCAAGAAAAAAAAATCCATACTACATACCAAAAATTGAGACACTCAGTGATTCAGCCTGCTTCCATTAATAAAAACACATGATATCAACGAAAAATTTAAAGCAGAAAGTAACTGGGTCACCAAAGAGATAATCAAGAATTTGCTGCAATTAAAAGCAAAACAACACTAATAGAACTACTGTTTTAATACGAAAACGGGCTCAGAAATCAAATCACTCTTGGGGTCCTACACCCGTAAAACATAACCTGGATTTAAAAAAAAAAAAAAACTACTTATAATATTTGCAAAACAATTGGATAGAGAAGCAAGAGGGAAACAAAACTACCTCTCTAAAGGCACCGCAACAGCAATGCTTCACTCAATAGAACGTAGACCAAAAAAGCCCGTGACCCTCCTTCACCTGTTTATCACGCATTCTGACGGTCTTTCTGGGTGAGAAAGCTTTAAAAGACTTTCCACCTCGAAAACACATTCCAGACCTAAACAGAAAGGGGGTTGAGGGAAGGATTCGCTGGAAGTTATAAACCCTCCGCTCAGGAGTGCATGGACAACTTGGATCCTCTGGCCCTTCCACCAAGGCGGGAAGGAGGGGCCACAGTGCGCCCCCAAGCCCGAGGGGTGCCCAGGGCTGGAAAAGCCTCACAGCAGAGGCAGCAGCTGGGAACAATGCCGGAGAGCCGAGTTCCGCCAGGCTCCAAGGCGAGGGGAGGTCTGCGCCCCAGAGGAACCCACGGGCGCCCGCTGCCCGAACCCCACGCTCGAAGACCCAGGCCCGCCGTGCGGAAGCGGCGGCCCCAGGCCCCGGCCCAGCCTGCCCAGCCCGGCCTGCCCAGCCCAAATACCTGGTCTGCGGGGGGTCGGTCCATGGCGCCTGCAGCAGCTGCGGGCCCGCGTTAGTCCGTGTAGAGAGCGATTCGGGCCGCTTTCTCCATGGCCCCCCGCGCGGGTCCAGACCGGGCTCCGGGCCTCCGCCCCTATCTACTGGCCCCGACGCCGAGTCCGGCTACGCCACGGACCGAGAAGGCGGACCCAGCTCCGGGAGACGTAGAAGGCGGTGGCCTCGGGGAGGGATCATCTGAAACGGAAGCCGAGGAGGACCTAGCTGAGCGGGAGGCGTTGTCGGAAATGGAGGCGAGCGGAAGGCGAAGGAGCAGGGAGGAGGCGGAGAGGACTGTGGGTGGAGTGATGGCGGGTGGCCTGAGCGGCAGCGTGAGCCTTGGCTGGCAGAGCTGAGGCTGAGGCTGAGGCCAGGTGAGGGTGCCCCGGCACAGGGCGCCCCACACCACACTGCGCTTTGGGCGGGACTTAACTGCTCGCCTGGACTGTTAAACTAGAGCAGTGTCTGGCCTCTTGGGACCTAGGACACTCGGGGTCCAACCTTTCGGGACCTCAGAGACCTGGTCATGATCCGAAACCACCTCTTAGTGATGTTGGAAGAGCTTTTAGCTGCCCACTGTAGATATGATCCTTACTTACGTTACCTGGATAAAGTAAAGACACCACAGGAAAATACCACAGAATGCCCTCCTCCCACCCCCCAAAAAAGAAATTCAGGAGTCTCCATAAATACTTGTTGATTAGTTAATCCATCGTCAAGGTTCAGGCCCAGCTCTAGATTGATTTCCCTCTTCTCAGAACCCCTGATTTTACCGAGTCTGTATAACACCGCCCAACAGTTAATTACAAACTCTGGTATGTTGCTCTCTCCTCTGTACTT